CTTGACTTCATTGAATGCAGTGAGAGCTTCACTATTGAGTGTAATTTTTGCGTTGCATTTCTCCTGGTTATGCGAACATTTAGGGATGAACAGACGGTAGTAATTGATTATTCCCAAGAATCTGTGCAGCTGTTGAAGTGTTGTCAGTAGAGGAAAATTCTGTACTACTTTTACTTTGTTGGTAACAGGTGTAATGCCAGTACCGTCTATCTTGTGCCCGAAAAAGACTAGCCTGGGTACTGCGAATACAAATTTGTCATGGTTAATTTTAAGACCAAAGTGGTTGAGTCACTCAAAAACTTGGGTTACATGTTCTGTCTACTCATTCATGTCTTTGATAGCTATGAGAAGGTCGTTAATGTAGGTGAATGAATGTGGCAATCTGTGGAGGGCTTCATTGATTAACCATTGGAAGGATTGTACAGTGTTCCATAGTCCAAAGGGCATCCACAAAAACTCATACAAGCTGAAGGGTGTAGTAATTGCAGTTTTATGAATGTCCTCTGGAGCTACCAGAATTTGGTAAAATGCCTTTCTTAAATCAATTTTCATAAATATATATTCAGTGAGAGATAATTATTTGGTTTAAAGTTCATTGGATAAATGTTCATGAGTGTTTCATGATATGATTGTTCTTGTGATATTACTGTTGAAAAGTATTGTTGTGTCAAAAGAAGTTTTTAGTGAAGGTGTACAAATTATCATCAGCATGTGGGTGTGCATGTGAGTGAGAAGGTTGGTGTGTAATTAGAACTGGAAATCCAACTGTTGTAGATTCATTTAGCAGTTGAGGTCTCACTAATTGAGATGAGAAAAATCTTGGCTTAAATAAGCGACTATAGGCTCTGATTTGTTGCATGGGAAAAATTATTCTTCACGTGCAAACGATCTGATTGGTTAGTATCAATCAATCAGCGAGCCACTTCTCCCAAAAGTGCACAAATTTGACTACTTAAAAAGTAAAGTGATTCCAAAATTGTCACATTACTGCGATTTGTAAATTGCCTGTAGAAAATGTATTAGTGATTTATTAGCCAATGATCGTTTGGCATTGTACATGTGATTTTGTGTTTTTATGTATATGTTCATGCGTAAGTAGGTTTGCACATACACATGGAAGCCATGTTTATAGTTGATGTTATTGAGTGTTGGCTTTTACTTTTTTATTAATAATGCTTCCATTATTTTTAGACTTATTTTACACGTTGATGAAGCCATTATATACTTGTAGATAATACAAATATAATAGCCTCATCCACCTATAAAATACATCAATAACATCAACCATGTTCATTAAAAATAACTGACAAGGTACTGTGGTTAAATTTTAAAACTTTTCTTGTGTTCTTATAATTTTTTTCTTTTCTGTACATAAATTATGCAGAAATTCTCTGAATGCTCTTATGTGTCCGAGTGCTTTCGTCTATTTTTTTAACCATTATCAAAGATGATTTTATATTTACTTTTAACTGAATGTATGCATGTTTTTTATATATGTATCTAAAGTTATAGGAATGTTTTAATTTTCCAAACACGGTCAGCACATTTTGGCCATGTTTATAGTGGATGTTATTGCATGTTGGTTTTTTCTTTTCTATTAATAATGCTTCTATTATTTTTAGCCTTTTTTACATGTGGGGGAGACTATTATATTAGTATTATTAAAATATTATAAGAAAAAAATTATAAGAACACAAGAAAAATTCAATAAAAAACTTAAGCACAAAATCCTGTCAGTCATTTTTAATGAAACTTATGTTTTTTATTTAATTTTTATTTATATATATTAATATATTTTAATATATTTTCTGTTTAAACGTTAAATTTATAGATACAATTTATTTAAGTAAATGCTATGTTTTTTTTAGTTAAACAGTATTAATTACATTTACCTGCTTGAATGTTCAAGAAATTTTATAGAAAATATGTGCTTCTCCAACAGCAATCAAACCTGTAACCATTAACAGGAACCATCATTTGATTTCATATGCTGTTCAGATGCTTCTTTGCTGCTGAGTTTTTATTTCTTCCAGGCCCATGTCCGGTTTACAAACCTGTATGGTATTCCCAAGGCTCTTTACAATGATAATGCTAAGATATTCCTGATCAGCAGAAGACTGTTTTGTCATTTGTCTCTCTTCCCAAAGTATCAAGATAAGTTTGGCTCATACAGCATGAAGCTTAACCCAATTCCCCCTTTTTCTCCATGGTTCAGGGGAACTTGGGAGATAAATATTAACACATGCCACTACATGGTTATTGGAAGAGGCAAAATGGATTATTTCTCTCTCTCTCTAACATCCAAAGGGTTGTGAACAATATGTTCTTGAGACCCAATAAGAGCCCAGGATTAATGTTACAGTTGGGGAGGCTTGATCTTTCTCCCATGGTACCTCCCAGCCAGAGACAGTTAATTGAGATATTGGAGCTTAAAAACCAATAACTCTAAAAATTCCATGAGCTGTGGTACAATGAATACCTCCTTGATGTTAGGGAGAGGTCCCCTGGATGATCCTGGTTGCCCTTCTAAAACCACCTTCAAATGGATGATGTGGTCCTTATTAAGAGCCCACTCAAACCTAGTCTTTTGGATACTGGGAAAATATCATTCCAGGGTACAACGGTGTGGTGTATCAGGCAGGGGAGGTAGTCTTGTGCAGACCCATTCCTTAAAACATCTATATCCTATGGAGCTTTGCCTATCATCGAATAACCAAGATGAGTTTGGGGCTAATCTTTCCATCTTTCCTTATCCAGACACTTCTTATTACAGCAAAACCCGCTAGCTCTCCACCTGGTGGGGAAACTATGATTTAGTTGTGCCCTACCTGTAACCCCTTACAGGGAGAGCAGAATATGATAAGCTGTGACTTGTGTGACTTGTTTGACTGTGTTGGAATCAAGGTGGCTCCTCCTAGAAGACAAAAATGGTATTGCCCTAACTTTGCTCCTGAAAAAAGGCATCAGGGTAGGCCAAGTCTGCTTCCCACCTAAAAATATTGATCCTGAGAAAGACTGAAAATTGCAACTGTCAGTGGAGCCAAAAGCTAAGGGACGGAATGAGGGTACTCTAACCACTGTCATCTCTAGGTGGCTCTTCATTGGGGTCTAGCACCTCTAAGTCCCCCATCAGGGTTACATACTTTTTTTTCAGTTTTTTTTCTTCTCTTATCAGAAAAAAGTTGAGCAGCAGGATTAATCGAGGAATGGAGTAGGGACTGACCCCGCAACTTGTGTCTTTAGGCACAGGTGCCACAACCACCTCCTCCTTTATAGCCTTCTACTGAAAGAGTGGGAGGAAGTGGAGACAGTTACAATGTTATGAAATGCTTCCCCTACTCATTTTTTCTGCTTGATTACAGACATTGATTATTAATTGTTGTTTGTGGCTAGCTACTTAATTATTGTTACCAGACCCAGATTGGGAGTGGGTCACGATGGCATCATTTTCCTTCACAACATGAGTTTATCAGTATCTCCAACTCAGGGTCATCCTCTAGGTTGATTTTTCTTTTTGTCAATAAATTAATATGTTACTTATAATAAAAAATATTACCTATTCTAAAGGAAAATATTATTTATTTTCAGAATAACTTTTTCTCTTCTGGAGAGTGACTGTTATTGGTAAGAAATTAATGCTTTACTATTGTTATAATGTGCATTTGATTGCAAAAGGAAGGAACAAACAAGAATTAAATTTTCAACAGTGTATATTCATAAAAATTCTGAATATATACATAGTTGTTTGAAGTTTGATAAAAATAGTTCATGTGGGTTTCTTCAGTTGTTGTTGGTAAGAATAGTGATTAGGTGTAAGGGTATTGTCGGTAGAACTGAGAGTTGACTGATTTCTTGGGTTCGATGGCCAAGATCACAGTCTCGGTCAGAGGATAGGTCTGGAATGGATTAGCCATTGGTGGGATTTGATGTATGCCCTTCTTCATGATTGAAATTGAGTGGATGGATAGTGAAGGTTCATTGAGCAGAATGTCTGCTGTATTCTACTAGAATATGGTATCAATGAGGGTCACATTGATGATGACAAGGGAGATCTGTACTAGATAGCATAGGCTGATCAAGCAGAATGTCTCTGCTGGATTCGGGTCAAATGTGGTATCAGCAATACAAGGTCACAATGATGATAACAAGAATGGATGGTTGATTGAGCAGAATGTCTTCAAGAAATTTTAGTCAAATGTGATATCAACGAAACAGGGTCATGGTGCTTTCTTTTAAGCAAATCTGGTGGGTCCCCCAAAGTCATCTTTATGAACCAGATGTGATGCTCAGAGCCTGTGCACAAAAAACAACTTTTTTTATTTTGTGTTTTGCTTTATTAGCGTTCACATCCATCCAACATGTAGCGTGAATCAGAAAAAGATCTAATTGTAGTAGAGTATAACACTAACAGTATAGAGTAATTGTTAACAAAGAGATACATTAGGCACATAATAAATATTTATGTATTATCTATGCTTATATAATCATATCAATAAGAATTTGCTTGTGAGGTTTTTGATAGAGTTGCAATGAATATATATTGTAGATAATTGCTTTTATTTGTTACATCACAAATGTACATGTGTATTTAATTAGAACATAACAAAGTAATAAATTACTTATTCTGGTCTATTTTTATAAATGATTTATTTTCATGTCTTTTCAGCAACTTATTTTTGAACTTGAAAACTCAAGCAGCCTAAAACAGAGAAGTACACAGGTTTAAAATTCCAGATATTTTTTAAACCTTCATTGACAGAATGGAACCAGTCTTTGAACGGTATAGTCCTCAACACCCTCTACCAGAAGAGATCCAAAATCTTCCTCGAGATGACACTGTATGTCATTACTGTGGTGTCAGTTACTTGATCCACAGAGAAATTAAAATGTTGGAAGAAAAATTACAGAGGATGGAAGAAGAATTAGAAAAATGTCGTGATTGTGAACAACGAGAATCAGAACTGTTAATACGTGTTGGAGATTTGCAGAGTTCCATGAAGATGGTAGAGAATGAAAACAAGAATTTGCTGAAAACATCAACTTCTTTGACTGAGCAGTATGTTCAATTGCTTTTCTTTTGGAGGCCTTTATTTTATTAGTCTTTACTTTCTTTTTATTTCTGATTTTCACATTTTGTAGATTTATAATTGAAAATCAGTATTATCATTAAAACTGTACACTCAACAAACTATGAAGCAACTGAAATAATTACAAACATCAGCAAGAAAAAATGAGAGAAAATTGCATTTTTTTTAGTTTTGTTTATTTACAAATATTTTTCTGTTTTGACATCCAATTGGTGAAGACAAAATAAATATAATAATCTTTATACGATTAAATTATTTTGCGGTTAATAACAAAATATTTTATTTCACATTCTAAGGTTATTTTTAACAAGTTTCTTTATATTTTTACCATAGCATTTTAGTCAATCAAATTAAATTTAAGAAACTAATAATAAAATAAATCAATTAAAATTTTTTAATAAAAGGCAATAAAAATATTTGAGAAACATAATCAAAAAGAATTTCAGCATTTTGAAAGCACTAAAAAATTAGAAGTAACATATTTTCTAATATTTTGCAACATTTGTTTCCTTGGTTTAATTACTAAATCAATTATGCTTTCTGAAAATCACTATATAAATTATTTTAAACAAACCAATTGGATTTTCAAAATTTTATTATAAATTTTTTGTATTTTATTTTCTATTATGGGAAATAATTCAACTATAAAATGAAAGACTGAAAATAAAGTTGATTTATGTTTAAGTGAACAATTCTAAGTATTTTTCCACTTAGTATCATGATGGATTTTCCACATTTTGCATTTAAAAGTATCACCCTTAATCAAATCTCACTTGAACAGTTGGAGCAGTTTGGCTACAAGCAATCAATAAGGCTTTTAAATAAATATATTTAGCAAAATAAGTCAAAAAATATCTGAAACATTACGTCTCATACTTTGTTTTTAACTATTTATAACACTGCAATTATTTTTTTAATAATGCTGACATTTTATTGTAAAGAACTTTATGAGTCTAAGGAAAAATATATGCACTTGATAATTTTCATTTATTTTTTTTACTTAGCAAAATTTCTTAAAACTATATTGTTTTTATTCATACTTTTGATATAAAGTATTAAAAACTGATTGCAATAAAGGAACAGATGTTTTAGAAGTATGAAAAATAATTTTCAATTATCTTATTTATATCAACTTTTAATTACTTTTGTGAGGTATGACTTTTATTATTTGAAACATTTATAACTTGTTAAATGTATGAGCATCTTCTTTATTATTGCCCAACAGTTTTCAATTGGGTAAAGGTCAGGACTTTGACTAGGCCACTAGAAGAGTTGCTATTTACCCTCATCGCAGCAAAAAAAAAATGGACGCACACATTGAAATGATGAACAAAATATAAAGCTTATTACATTTGTATTTACATTTATTAACATGCCTAAGAATTGTTCTGACTTCAAGAAAAGCCAAGCCACTACTTTTCATGATCTTGGTCTGTTGAATAGAGTGACAGCTGATAAGATTAATTGAAGTGAGTTATGTGTTTGCAAGTTAATGTATGTAATACCAATTGTATGAAAAACATGTTTTACAAGATTTATGACTTGTTTATTGTATGTGATACCAATTGTTTTTCATCTTTTTTGATAAATATATCAGGTAAATATTTTTATTTTTTGTTACTTTCAGACTGAATGTCCGCACAAAAGAACTTGAAACTGCACAACAACATCTTAAAAATCTTGAAGAAGACATTTCTGATTTAAATCAGGAAGTTTCAGGTTTAACTAAGGAAAACGAATCTCAAAGGTTTGTATTTTTATAATATTTCTTTTAAATAATTTGAGAGTATATATACATATATATATATATGTATAGTGGAAAAAGTTTACTTGTGACATATTTCAGGACTTCATTTATGTTGGTATGACTACACATGTGCACAAACAAGTAGTGTTGGGGATTTTAGATTTTTGTGGGGAATTTTTTTTTATATCCAGCTGAATTCATGTAGTTTTTTTCCTTTTCTTTCCATCACTTATGTTAGTAGGTATCCCACACTGTGATAACAGAAGATCTGCCAGGAATGGTGAATTATCATTATCTAATACATATATATATATATATATATATATATATATATATATATATATAGTAATGCCTTGAGATATGAGTCTAATTCATTCCAAGTCTGAGCTCATAACTCAAAAGACTTGTATCTCAAATCAATTTTCTCCATTGAAATTAATGGGAATATTTCTGATCTGTTCCAGGCCACTAAAAATCACCCTTATTTTCCTAAAACTCAACCCTACTTTTGTATTTGTGAGTTTCTTTTCAGAGCAAAAACATGTGAATAAACAAGAAATGTAGTTTACAAACAATAAAAGAGAAAAAACAAATTGTAAAGAAATAAACTTTACTAAACCATGAAGTTCAGTCATAGATCAACTGGTGGAGGAGAGAGAGAGGTGGGGACAACAACAGCTAACCTATCAACTGTTGACCTAGCCTAGTCTATAATACTGAAGATTAACTTTATCAATTAATTTAAAAAAAATTTTTTTAAATTTACATTTTATCCATTACTGTAACTAATTTTTTTAATTTTTTAAATTTTATAATTTTTTATTTATTGTCAATGTAGAATGCTCATACTGTTTCGCCAAATCCATTACCTGTAAGTCTTCCTCATGTTATTTTATAATTTCCTACTTTACTTCATGCAAAATCATATATTTTGGCTTTTCACCACTGCTCTTTACACTTTCTTCAGACCCATGTTGTCACTAAAGGAATTTTGCAAAATAACAGCAAAAATGACACAACAGAAATCCTTCCAGAGTGAGGTGAACACGTGTACTGTGAGTAGAAATATTGTCAAAGCTTGGCTCTCACTGCAGCAACTAGCAGATACTTAACTGAAACTCATTCATATCTCAAAATTCAGCTTTTATTTCAAGGCAAATAATCCGCTGAACTGCAGATCATATTTCAAAAAACTCATATGTTGATACACTTGTATCTTAAAGCATTACTGTGTGTGTGTGTATATATATATATATATATATATATATATATATATATAGTAAAATAATGTTTTTGTAGATTTAAACATAAAGGTTTTACACTGTAAAATTTTCATAATGTATTTACCAATTCCAGTTAGTCTTTCTTTTGTTTTTCATTCTTCTGTTCATATCAAAGTAATGAAATATTTAAGGCATTTCATAATCTGTTAAAACTCAAAAACTCCTATAACTATTGTAGTGTTGAAAATAATAATCTCAAAAAAATATTATATCATATTAATTATAAGAAAGATAAGATATTTTTCTTGCTGTGGATGATGATGATGATGACAACAACAAAAATAAAATGTTAGTTATGGTATGATTATCATAAAATAAGAGTTAAATAATTGTATTATTATAACATAGAAATATGATTATTATCACAGTAGAATATTACATTTTGTCTTTATGATAATATAATATCAAAATCATACATAATAATACTTTATATAATTTCATATTTTCAAAAAACTAAAAAAAAGATTATGAAAACTAATGCTCCAATCTTTCTAGCATTGATCTGAGTTAATATTAGACAAATCTGCACAAAAACTTTTTACAGGTACATGCTAATAGTAATAATACTAGTAAATATAAAATCATGTATATGAACATTTTCACAAGTTCTTAATAGGTAGGCAATATTCAAATTCTCTTTTTTTACCAAACCTTTTAGCTAGCAAGGTTTCTTTTTTTTTTAATTCTTTTTTATAGAATTTGCAGTTTTTATTTATTAAAAATAACCAAGAATTTGTTAATCACAAGATTTTAATAAAAAAAACAATAAAAAATAAAAGAGTCTATCCTGAAAGTATTTTCTGAAATGTTATCTCATCTAAAAGTACAAATGAAATTAGTTGAAAACATTTATCTTTACAAGCCCCTAACATACCACTAATAAGTTTTAACAATGACTGCTTTAAATGACAAATATACAATCAGAAAGAGACATTTAAAATTTCTGGGGTACATAACGACAAAAGAAAGCCTGGAAAATTTGAAACTCAAAAGATATATTGAAGGGAAAGGGAAGAAGAAAGCTGCAAGTAATCAACCTAACAAGTTTGTATAAATGGATGGCAGAACAGGGAGTGAAAGGGATAGTGAAAAGATAAATATTGCTTAGAGCTATGAAGGATAGGAAGTTGTGGAGAGACATGATCAACCTACCCAACAAACTTTTGTAAATGGATCGCAGAACAGTAGGTGGGAGGGATAGTAAAAAAATAAGCATTGCTTAGAGCTACAAAGGATAGGAGGATTGTGGAGCGACATGATCAACCAACCTAACAAAGCTTGTATAAATGTATGACTAAACAGGGACAGGGAGTGATAGTGAAAAGACAAATATTGATAAGAGTTACAAAAGATAGGGAGCTGTGAAGAGTGATGATTGCCTACACCTTGAATGGACATAGCACGAAGAAGAAGTAGAGGCAGCATTAACTGTTGAATATTTACTTCAGAGTTGGGGGTTTTATTTAACTAACTTATTTTTAGAAATTTTTTTCTCTAGTCTCCCTCCTTTATTTCTGACAGACATTTTGCAATACCCCACCCATTGCATGCCTGAAACTGTAAATCAGTCTTAGGCAAACTGTGGTCTGTGAGCCACATGCAGCCTGTTTGGCCTTCTGAATGATACACTTAATTTAATGAAGAAAATAATGTTTATTAAAATTTTGTGCTTTGTTTTATTCTCACTTGTTCCCTCACATTCTCTCTCATGCAAAGAGGTTGAGAGAAGCTGGTGTCAAAGGGAAATAACTATTAAATGCCTGAGTAACTGCCTATACTTAATTCCTGTTGTGTTGGGAGTACAGTTCAACTAAGCCACATATATAATAATGATTATTATGCATGATAATTTTACATAGATATGATTATATATTTTACTTAATCCCTCAGAGATATTATTGCACCATTTACTCAATCTCTATATACTTAATCTTTAAAAAGACATGATCTCTATATTCTTAATCTCTCTCTCTCTCTCTACACTTGATGTAATATAACAGAGATATTAAGTATATATTAATAAATATACATATTATTCCTCATCAGTAACATGACTTGGAGTTTCATGCACAACACAATCTTTAGGTGCTGAGTATAGACTGGCTGTAACATAATTTAAGGTTTAATCAAAATATTTGGTTAACACAATGTTGGCAGAGTCCATATATTATACAAGGATTACAGTTTTTAATTATAAAAATATATTTTACATTTAAAATAAACAGGATATATACTATGAGGCAAAAAAAATGGATGCATCCACAGAATTTTGATCTTTGTAGTTCTACCAAGACAAGTGAGTAATAGAATTCATTTATTAATACTGGGTATTAATACAGATGTACATATGTACATTATACAAGTCAAAAATTATTTTGTTGGGTAACCTTTTGCTTTAATAACAGCCTTATTTCTTCATGGCATGCTATAGACTAAATTCTTTAGTAAGTCAACATTCTTTGCTAGATTTTTCCAGCATTCCTTTAATTTGTGAAAAGGCTCACCATCTGTGTTAACTTTCCTATTACAAGCATCTTGTCCATTATTGTCCAAAAGTTTTCAATTGGGTTATGGTCAGGACTCTGAAGAGTTGCTATTTACCCTCATCACAGCAAAAAATGGACACACTCATTGAAATGATGAACAAAATATAAAGCTTATTACATTTGCATTTTCATTTATTAACATGCCTAAGAATTGTTCTGACTTCAAGAAAGGCCAAGTCACTACTTTTCATGATCTTTGGCTGTCGAATAGAGTGACAGCTGATAAGATTAATTGAAGTGAGTTATGTGTCTGCAAGTTAATCAAAAAGAGAAATCAAACTGGAACATATAATAGACGTAGCGGATCTGGCCAACTGCTAAAAACTACTGACAGGAAAGATAAAGACTTGGTTCATCAATGCAAAAAAGATTGATTCGCAACGGTACAAGATGTTTCCAAAGTGACTAGTTTGGCGGTTCCTTCAAGAACAGCCAGACACAAACTTAAAGCGAAAGACATTGTTTTCCAAATACATAAAAAAGAAACCTTTCATATCTGGTAAAAATGTAAAGCAATGGTTGGCTTGGTGCAAAGTTCATTTACACTGGACTAAATCTGATTGGAAAGATGTTATGTGGAATGATGAGAGCCCCTTTACTTTTAGATATGCAGGATGAATATGTGTTTGGTGTATGCCTGGTGAAACAAATACTCCATTGACTACCAAGGGCACTGTTAAACATGATAAAAAAAAAATCAATGATTGGGGTGTGTTCTCAACAGCAGGATTTGGTAGTTTGTACAAAATCAAAGGAATCATGGACCAGCATCAATACCACAATCATTCTTGTTAATCAAATGTGGCTTTCTGCTAAAAAAAACTTTTTGCCCAAGGTCAATGCTTCATGTTCCAACACAATAATGATCCTAAGCATACTACCTTAAAGAATAAATGTTATCTAGAGAAGAAGTGTGATGAGGGTAAATTGCATCTCTTTAAAGCAAAAGGTTATCCAACAAAATATTAAATCATTTTTTAACTTGTATAGTGTACATATATACACCTGTATTAATACCTGTATTAATAAACTTCTATTACTCATTTCTCACTTGTCTTGGTAAAACCACAAAAATCGACTTTCTATGTGCGGATCCATTTCTTTGGCTATTTGCATGGCATATATATATATATATATATATATATATATATATATATATATTTGACAATTGGAAACATTCATGAAACTAGATTTGTTTTGAAATATAACTGATAATGCATTTCACCACTTAAGGCTTTCATCAAATTCCAAAAGTGAAAGAATGAATTGCATGTATGTGTATTTGTATACACTTAAATAATGAAATCTTATTTTTTCCAAGCTGGCTTTTCTCATGACTAACTGTTTTATAAGAATAAAGTGTTGTTGTTGACACCGTAGTTTGAACACAGATCACCAGTGAGCAAACACAGATGATTCCATTATTAAATAAGTAGATGACATGATCATAAAGGAAATGTATAAATGGGAAAGTGTCTGACATCACATAATTAAAAAAGAAAGAAAATGAGTGATTTTTAAAAAATCATAAACATTTGTTTTCTTTACTTTCAGTTCAAGTTGAAAGATATAATACTTGGTAGAATTGGTAGAAATTAAAGGATCTTTTTTTTTATCCATTTGTTTTTCTGGGTTCAAATTATGTTTCAAAATTAAGATAATATAATCCTGACAAAGTTTATTAAATTTTTGAAAATTGTAAATGTTCATGAAAGTAGATTTGTTTAGAAATATATCTGTTAATGTGACATGGAAAACAACAAAACATAATAATAAAATGATAATGTCAACATGGAAAATGGTTCTGATGGAGCCTTAAATGGTGTAATCTATTATCAGATATATTTCTAAACAAATCTACTTTTATGAACAATTTCAACTGTCAAAAATGTTTAAAAATTTGTTGAGATTATTATGCATATATATATATATATATATATATTAAAAAAAATTAATTCTGATTTGAAGTTGTAAATATTAATTTTATATTAAGCATATAGAGATTAAAGGGAGGATACTGGTCTTTTATTAAAAAAACATTAAAATTAAGAAAAAACAAAAGAGAAATTTCATAATATACATTAAAAATGACTCCGGATCAACATATTTCATATTTTTATGCCTACATGTAACCATCAATTCATTTCTTTTGTTTAATAAGTTAGGGTTATTTAAGTGTTTTAAGATAACTAATTTTTCTACAAGACATAAATTAAATCTACCACCTTTCCTATTGTAATATTTGATTTTAGCTAGAATATCCCATGTGATAATGGGTGTATTACCACCATTCTTTAATTGCCGAAATGTTTGGAGAGAGCAGTGCTATTTATGCATCTTACATTGTCTAAAGTCATTTGATGATGATAGAAACAAAATTTTTATATAAATATATACCACACAAGCAGGAGAACCCAATCATGGCCGTCAGACAATTTCTGTGACCACATCACCTCTTACATCTGGTCACCTAACTCCCCAGACTGCAACCCCTTTCATTATTATGCATGTGGTGCAGTTGAGCAAGAGACCAACAAAATTCCTTGTAATACCAAAGCTGAACTGAAGGCAATGATTATGGCAGCATTCACCAACTTAAACAAGGAGACCATCCAGAAGAGTTGCAGGAGATTGTGAAGTTGTCAGGAGGCCATGGTTGAAGCCAATGGAGATTTTATTGAATGAATTTACTCTTTAGTATTTCAAGATATTTTTGTATAATTTTGATAAATATATTTGTTAAAATGAGATGTCAGTGTTATTTTGATTTTTGCATAATTTAGATGACAATTTATTCATCACACCCAGTATAATGTATATATACATGAAATTTATATATATATATATATATATATATATATATATATATATATATAATATATTTTTAGGAAATGGATTAAATCCAACATATTTTTAATTTATTTGTTTAAACATTATTTTTAAATGGATACACATATAATAAGGTTTAAACAAATAAATAAAAATATATAATGTATATAAACAAAATTTATATATATATAAGGTGTATACCCACTTAATCTTTAAAAGAGGCAGATAAATGAACATTTAATTTTATTTGTTACTATACTTAAGATTTATATAGATATGACTATATCATAATATGTTCAGAAGATATTTTAAGATATTTTCAAAGCTAATAATAATGAAAGTAAAATGAACTGTATTTGTTTGGCCATTTATATTCCTTATTAAAATTTTAAAAACTATTTTTTAGGAACAAAAATTCCAGTCTCCAGTCAAAGATAGTTTCTATCTTTAATTCTCTGAAACATGAAAAAGAAGAAGTTGCACATATTTCTTCTGTAATAGAACAAGACAAGGTGCAAATCAGTTCCATGTTCAAAGACTTCTGGCACTACATCAAGCAAGTGAATGTGGCACATCAAATGGGTAAAATCTTTTTTCTGTCCTATTGAATCTATTGTTAAAATAAATTTTTATCATTTATAATTTAAAACAGATTTGTTCACAATTTTTTAAGCCTATAAGTCTTTGAGAAAGCAAAATCTTAAGCAAGTTTAAAATTTGCTATTAAATATTGACACTTTTACAAAATGTAATTTTAACATGACACTTTCAAAATTGAAGGTTCACCACATAGGGAATTAATCTTATCAGTTAAAGCAATGAGCTATTCAAAGGGGTGTTGAAAATTTCTTGGCCCAATCTATTATTCAAAAAGAAAACCAAAAAACTAAATATATTTTTTAAGGGCTTCTCGCTCAAATCAAGACCTTTTCAGTAGCTTCTTATACAGTCTATTAAAATTTATTTAAATTTAAATCTTTACTTATTTATTGTCTATATAATTTAATCTCATATTATTCATAAAGTTGAATTAAATAAATAAAAAAATTTAAACTTTTTATTTTATTGATAATTTATAGCTTGTCTCAATATAAAAACTAATTTTTCTGAACAGATATTTTGTTTGTAATATAAAATCACTTATTCTACAATTTCTATCTGAATTTCGGTGATAAGGAGATTAATTGCATTATTAACATTATTATTTACACTACCCTAGTAGATAAAATAAATAATTCAGTTCAAAATTCCCTGTAGGTTACTTAGATCAACATACACCTGAAGAAAGCCAAAGGATACAACAGCTGAAACATTGTGATAACAACAAGAGATGGGGGGGTCAGTAGTCCTCATGTAAATAGAATAAATAACATTTATTCTACATTAAATTCATTCATTTTTTTTAAATTATTTTGAGATTAAAGCCCAACCAAAGTTTCTCTCCATATACACATTGAAGTAGCTTACTAGTTAAATATTTATGAAAGCAAAGACCCATAATGATGTTACATGTCTTATCAAGAAATCTAATATAAATACTTAGAACATGACTATCAAGAAATCTGATACAAATATATACATGTGCATCAAGAAATCTAAAACCAATATGTTAATAACAAGAAGTCTAATGCAATCTAACATGTACCACATCACTTTTATTAATGCAAATACCAGTGAATATGTAGCATGCGATTATAAAGAAATTTAACACCAATGATCATGTATTATATGTTATATATATTCATCCTTTAGTCACCAGTTGTCATATAGATGACTAGCATAATTTGGTTGAAATCAGTTGAAAAATGCAGGAGATCTGATCAAACATATAAACACACACACGCACACTGCCTTTTATATATATATATATATATATATATATATATAGATGTCAGTCAAAAAGTAATGACTCTTCTAATTTAATTTTAAAAGTATTAGTTATAATTCCCAGGTTTTATTGACATTAAAGTGTCTGAAAGTCCTAGGGAAATATTTGTGCAATTATCATCTCTTTTCCTACCTATAATTCTCTTTCTGGCTGCCCTGCCGGACACTTATAGAAATTAAAGAGTTGTCATAGAATTTGTTCTTGGAAGAAAAAAATTTCTACAAACATTCATAGGATGTTAATGAATGTTTATAGAAAGGCTGCATTTGACATGAGCACATTAACGAGATTTAGTCAATAGAATTAATACCAATCCTAGAGAGAAAGCAAAAATGGCCTTAGTGACAGACCCCACAGTGGCAGGCCAGTTACTGCTGTGAATGAAGATAAATCCAAACAGGCTGATTTTTTTCATTACAACTAATAGAAGAATCACTGTAGCAAAACTTTGTGAAAAAGTTTTCAGTAGTTTGTTAGTCTTTTGTCTATTCAAAGTGGTTCCTAAAATGCTGATAGACTTCATGAAGGAAGAGAAAATGGTTGTTACGTAAGGGCTTGCGGAGCTTCAAAACAACACATGAGAGATGAGATTGAGATTGAAAGCAAAGATGATTGATAGAGTTGTACGACAAAGATTTACACAAAAAGAGATAGTATGCTTTACAGGGAAAAAGTGCTGACTATTGTGTTTTCAGAGAAGATAGAAAGTATATTGCTGTTGATTAATATCAGAGATTATATCTAATGACAATGTCATGAAGTGAGTGATTCAAGGATTCTATACTTCATTCTCAACAGCAGAAGGATTACACATACAAGTCTTTACACACATATGAAAAATGAGGCAATGTAGTTCAATATCACATCTTTTGGAAATGAAGGGGTTTTATCTCGCATGGATCTTTAGCTTCTATATACTGTTTCAGTCCCAGGTATGACTAGAAACTACATCTGGCAGCTAAGCATTTGGTTGGAAAATTGGAGGTTTTGGAGAGCATGGAACCACCCCTCTTAAATGCTGTCATTCCCAGGCCCACCCTGAACCAGGATGGTAGTGTCCCAGATATGGGCAAATAGTAAACTCCCAAACAAAAACAAAAGACTATGAAAGTATAAAAATACATTTTTATAGTAATCTTACTGACAATGTATAATTATAGTAAAATGACCAGCATTCCATTTTATAGTAGAATTACCAACAATAAATTTTATCTGTAGTTGAAAACATGCAATTACATTCAAAATATATTTACTTAAAATTTTATTTAATAATAGATGATGAAATTTTTCTAAGGCAAGTCAATTTAGAGTTTGAACGTCATTTTCAATCCAGTGTAAAAATTTATCTCCCACATTATCTGATATGTTCCCTCTCTGTTCAACTTGAAATCATAATCATGATAAAGCATCAACATTAAGAATAGCAGTTCCTTTTACATATTCAATATCAAAATCAAAATTAACTTTCAGTAATCTTTTTCTTGGATTTAAAATAAATTCTTAAGGATTCTGATCAGATCTCAGAAAGAAATTTCTATCCAATAAGAATTGGTAAGCTCTACTAATGTTTTATACAATCACTAAAGCCTCTTTTTCTATATTCAAATAATTAGAATCTGCAGCCATTAATCTTTTAGAGAAGTACATTACTGCATGTCCGACTTGGGATAAAATTGCTGATAGAGAATGTTCACTTGCATCTCTGGCTAATGTAAAATCCTTTTTTGGGATTAAAAATCTTTATAATGGTTTTTTTAACACTTTGTGAAGATTTTTAAGAGCAATAGCATTTTTTAACCTGCTAAATATTGTTTGTTGTATTTAAATTTATTATTTAAACTAATATTTGACTAATCAATAACTATTTTGTAATTTTTTAGGACTTTTAGGGTTTTGACAGTTTTAAAAATACAGGGTGCGATAGGTAAATTGTCGCCATTTTATGTTTTTAATTTCACCTATGTGCATTGTTTGTTTTTGATTTTGTTGACTGCATAGTTCAGTAAGGTCAATAGAGCACTGTCTGTGAGAAAAAGTGCACCATGATGCAATTCACTCTGCCAGAAATTTGGAAACAGCATACTGTACTTCTTGGCATTCATGCAGGAAACTACAATACAAACATTTCAGAGTGTTTGGACATCAATCTGAGGGGACATTGCAGAGGATTTGGAAACATGAGTTGGATGAGTCTAATGGTGATTATGAAGGTACAGAAGCTTGGAAAACTCAATCTGATCATTCTGATAAGAAAGAACTCCTCAACATGAAGGCCTACATCAAGTGCCTTGAGGAGGTAGTGCTGCCCTGGGTCAAGAGGGTGGTTGCTAGGAGACTATATGTCTGGCAACAGGACTCTGCACCATGCTACACAAGCAGGAAAACCCAATCATGGCTGTCAGACAATTTTTGTGACTGCATCACTCCTTACATCTGTCCACCTAACTCCCCAGACTTGAAACCCCCCTGAAGGCAATGATTATGGCAGCATTCACCAACTTAAAAAAGGAGAGCATCCAGAAGAGTTGCAGGAGATTCCAAAGTCATCCGAAGGCTGTGGATGAAGCCAAGGCTGATATTATTGAATAAATTTACTCTTTAATATTTCAAGATTGTAATAATTGTGATTGTTTAATTTTGGTAAATATGTCTTAAAAGGACATGCCAGTGTAATTTTTATTTTTGCATAATTTTGACGACAATTTATTCATTGTATCATGTGTTCTCAATTTTGAATCTTTATGACAACAAATTCATGACAAATACAAAGAAATATTTTTTCTTTTAATAAAATGATGAGAAAATTTTGAAAAATAAATAAAATAATTATATTTAAATAATTTAATAACTTTTTTTTCAGATATACAGAGACTGAAAATGTCTTTGGTAGAAATGGAAAGAGAAAAGTATGAAATTTTGCATGAAAAGAACAAAAAAATAGAAGCTGAAAAGAAGGAAGAATTAATACAGAAAGTAAATTCTCTACAATCTGAGACTAAACATTTAAAGACAAAATTAAAAGCTGATGAAGAAAAAATTGAAGGTAATATTTGATGTTTTTATTTTTGTATATAGTTAGTGACAATAAAGTACTATTTCTCAATAACAGTGATAATAAAGTACTATTTCTTAACCTAATAATAACATTAGATTAAGAAATAGTACTTTATTGTCACTGTTATTGCAAAAATGGAAAATAAAGTACTAATGATAGAAAATGTATTTGAACTTTGGGAAATATAAATTATTATTGAAAATATTTTGTGTATTTTTACTATTATTCAATAAAAAATATAGGTAATATATATACAAAATTTAAAAATATCAACTGCAAAGTTATTTGCTAATGTAAAGAAATATAAAATACTATTAGAATAGATTACATAAAGGAAAAACTTTTTATAAATAAAGAAAATAATGTAGGCATAACAAATATTTGATTCATATATATTTATTGGTGGATAAACTTACAAAATTAATTTTTAAAAATTAATTATTATTTTATATTAATTTGATAAATTATTTATGCATTTATTTAAAATAATAGATTTTGATTTAACTGTGTTCTTTTAATTTTTTTAAAAATTAATGTTTATGAATTTTGACTTGAGTAAGAAGTATTAGGATTAGTATTTTAGGAAAGGAAATATCTGTAAAGATCTCCCTCATTTCTGATGATTCTTAAACCCATCACAGTAGCTGAAAACTTGGAACCTCAGTTGGGTTTTTGTATAAACATATATTGTTTTTTAAGTTTCCTTTTTGGTCTTAAGTTTTTCTTAAGGGAGAAAAGCCAAAGCCTTCCAGCCTCTTGGTGTTTTAACTTTTAGCAAGTGCTTTGCATGAATCAAATGATTCTCTCTGGTCTATTCTGAGATGAAATGGAACTCTCTGTATTATGTATGACTAATACTATCAGACTTCACAACTCTTTGGATGGTGAAGTCTGACATCTTGATGTCCTTTACAATGATTCCAATTTATTTTCCAGGGTTCTTATCGATTATTTTCTGAAACTTTTATATAAACTTAGGTGTTTGTTCTGATAATTTTAGGAGCTTTACCATGTATTTTGCATTTAGTTCCTGCTATTCGATCCCTATCAGAAGCCCCAGTTCCTTTTGAATTTTGATAATGAAAGTTTGAGCAACTATCAGGAAGTGAGCTATTTTTTAAGGCAATGATTACAGCACGTCTTTCAACTTTATGCCTGAAAAGAGAAAGTAATAAAAATAAGTTAGACGATAGAGCTTCAGAAAGACATATCATCAAAAAACTGACCTATACACACACACATATATATATATATATATATATATATATATATATATATATATATATATATATACATTCACACTTTTTTAAAGTTTAATATTAAATACAACTGACAAGGTCTGTCTGTTTAATTTTATTATATATTTTCAGTTTTCAAATAACATGTTGTGTACTGGGATCAAAATTTTGGATAAACTGTTTGAAGTTCATATTTGTATTGTTGTTTATTCAATTACTTCAACCAGCTCAATCATTTTCAAGAACCAATGTGGTATCTGTGTGGTAGGTAAGATTCCCTTGTCTACATGCTGTTAATGTTCACCTTAAACAAATTCATGCCATCAGCATTTTTCTTTCTTATCTGATTTTCTTTATTATTCAACCAACTCTTGTAAAAATCAACAACAATAGGGAATGGATGACAAGAATTTTTTTTTGAAGTGAAACAGAAAAATTAGTCATAAACCTGCATGTTGGTGAATAATTCAGTCATCAATATCATCATCATAAAGGAAGCAATCAGCAAAGAAGAAATTAAATTCTTGGATACAAGATAAAGCTGCAGCTTTTATATATATATATATATATATATATATATATGAAATTTTTCCCGATTTAATCGGTAGAGAAGACAATATTTATGAATAAAAATGACAATAGGAAAACTGGTAATTGCTGAAGCATTCGTCCAATGTGGACTTTATCAAAGCAAAATACGAAAATGAAATTAAATGAACAATCTCTGATGTTATTTTTCAGTTAAAAAATATGAAAATAGCCTTTCTCTACATTCCAGTTGCTAGGTACATTCTGTTTTTGTTTTTATTAGTTACTTTGTTCATTTAATTTCATTTTCGTATTTTGCTTTGATAAAGTCCAATTGGACAAAAATAAAGATATATTTGTTAATTATTAAATTTTCCTATTGTCATTTTTATTCATAAATATATATATATATATATGTATATATATATTGAATATATTATATACACTTTAAGATACTGTCTCCTGTGGTGAAAGATATTCTATTTAATAATGTGTTGTTTATTTCATACAATAATAACTTCTAGGATTTTGAGGTTATCTTTGCATTGGATGCTGTTTAGTATTTTGCTATTATCCATTAATATGTTGATAATTGTATTTTGATTGTTTGTGATTTGCTGATTGATATATGCATGAATTGCACTGAGTTCTGACAATTGGCAAGTCAAAAATCTGTAGAATTCACACACACATCAAGCTCTCTGTGCATCAGGTGTTTAATAATTGATATTACTAGGATCCACCCAGATTATAAACCATATACTATTTTGTTTGTATTGTAAATAGTTAAGATCTGGAATTCCAAAGACCTCTACAACCGACCATCATGGATAAGTTCTGTCCAGAGTACTTCCGAAAAAAAACGTTCCATACTCCTCTCTACATTTGTTCAACATATCCCTCATGGAGAAAATTGTGGACTTTGTAAAAAACCACCCTGAGACAACAAATTACAAACAGGAAACCTTCAACCTAAAGACCCCAAAAAACTCCACCACCCTGTAAATTTCTGGATCCTCTCGAAAGAGACTTGTTTGGCATAGTTAAAAAAATGAAGTTCAACAAGCAATTTGATCACTTCCAAAAAGAACTAGACAAGGATATAAAAACAATTAGAAACTTCAAGGACATTTGGGTAAAAGCCAATAAATCAAAAGATATCTATAAATATAAACCCTCACATTACCACAAAATCCTCATGGACAAAATAATAGAAACACACAAACTAGATAAATATAATAGTAGGATGTCCAACATAGATACAGAGATCACCAAAATAACCAAAAAGTTAAATATTGCAGATAGAATGGAAAAGATCCACACTAAGGATGTCTACATTTTATTTAAGAACCATAAACAATAAACAATTTAGACTAATAAATGCAACAGAAACAAAACTAGGCCTTATCTCACAAAATATAATTAAAAAAATAACCGACAATTTACTAATCACAACCAGTACTAACCTTTGGAAGGATTCATCTGACACTATTAAATAGTTCACTAATGTAAGGAATAAAGATAAAGTGACATTCATTAAGTTTGATATGATTGACTTCTATTCCTCTATCACTAGGGACCTCCTGGTCAATGGTATCAACTTTGCAAAAAACTATATGAAACTAGTATCATCTTAATGGAGAGAAAGTCACTGCTAAGACTGAATAATTGCCCCTGGACTAAGTGCCACAATGATGAATTCGATGTCCCTATGTGAGCGTATGACTCAGCCCAAGTTGCAGACTAGTATGTTTTTTACATTTTAGCCGGAACTAATAGGGCTGTATCAGGATGATGAACTTGTGCGGATCTATTACACATGAACATACATACATACAAAAATGCAAATCATATATAACGCCAAGCATTCATTGGTTAATTAATCACCACTACGTTATTATAGGCAATTTACAAATCATGGCAATGTGACAATTTTGTAATCACTCTATTTCTAAATAGTCAATTTTGTGCACTTTTGGGAGATATGTATCACAGAAGCTTTCTTAAGTCTCCCAAAGCTCACTCACTGATTGGTCGATGCCAACCAATCAGATCATTTGCAATGAAGAATAATTCTTCCCACGCAGCGATTTAGAGCCTATGTTTGCTTATAAAAGGTAAGGTCTTTTCATCTCATTAGTGAGAAATTCAACTGCCAAATGAATCCACGACAGTTGAAACCATGCGCCAACTTTTTTCACTCACACCACTCACATACTGAATATAATTTTGTACACTCACATAAACTCTTCTTACACAGCAATATCTTTCAAGAACAATCATTACAAGAGAGACTCTCATGAACATTCTTCCAGTGAACTTTGGAACACTAAAATAACAGTTAAAGAGAGACGACTCTTAGTTAATTCAACCTTTTCTTACTTGAATGCATGCTTTCTTTCACATCGTTGTTTGATATTGTACATCTTGTTAAATACATATTTTATGTGTAACAATGTCTTTTTGTTATCCTTTTCTGCATGAGCCCTGTTTCCTAATCTAAAGTTAAATTAATGTGGTGAAGTCCGCCACACACTCATACTCATCTCTAATAGTAATGGTCCACTACCAGTGAAACTACAAAAGAAAATTATCAGGGCCTTCAAACTCCTAAAGTTTAAGATTGAGATTTCCTCTAACCTTAAAATAGTTGACTACCTAGATATCACCCTTAACCTTAATGATGAAACCTTTCAACCTTACCATATTAGAGAACAAAACCCCCCAACTATATTAATATCAGTTCTAACCACCCTATTGCAATCCTAAGACAAATACCCACTACTGTTTGAACCAGGATTAGTAAACTATCGTCTAATGAAAAAATATATAATAAGAAGAAAGAACTATACGAAAAGGCCCTCTAAAAAAGTGGTTTCAAAAGTAAACTACCTTACACAACCACTATTAGTAATACTGATACACAAAAAGTGGAATGTAGGTGTAAAAATAGGAAAAAATGAAATCAAATATCTTTCAATGGATGCATGCCATTTAAACTGTCAATTTATCAACATCAGTTAGCACTTCCTAAATGTAATTACTAAACACTTCAATAGAAAAATAACCCTCTAAATCAGTCAAAATTAGCTACTCCTAATTTCATAATATGTTGTCAAATTAATTAATTTCTTAACTACATTTTAATTCTCATGGGGAAAAAATAAATCTAACATGATATAAATTGTAGAATTAAGGAAAAACTGCCTAGTAAAAGGCAAGTGCAGTTCCAC